CCTATCCCCCTGAATTGTGCTCCGCATTACCCGGAATTTGATTTATATAGCCCCAAAAAAATGATTAAAAATCATTTTCGTGGGGAAAAGTGTTAAAACGCCTGATTAAAGCATATGCAGGACCCCAGTGAGCTCCAGACTATGTGCATTGTGTTAACGGACCCTGTGAATGATAGCACCCATCATTTAAACGTAAAGGCCACCATTAAAAATCACTTTTAGGGGGAAAACAGTGGCTGCGTCCACTTCGTTAAAAAACTGATAGGCAAATGGACAAAAGTGTGATTAAAGCATATGCAGGACCCCAGCGAGCTCCAGACTATGTCCATTGTGTCAGGGGGCCTGGTTCATGATGGCACCCATCATTTAAACGCAAAAGCCACCATTAAAAGTCACTTTTAGGGGGAAAACAGTGGCTGCGTCCACTTCGTTAACAAACTGATAGGCAAATGGACAAAAGTGTGATTAAAGCATATGCAGGACCCCAGCGAGCTCCAGACTATGTGCATTGTGTCGGGGGGCCTGGTTCATGATGGCACCCATCATTTAAACGCAAAAGCCACCATTAAAAGTCACTTTTAGGGGGAAAACAGTGGCTGCGTCCACTTCGTTAAAAAACTGATAGGCAAATGGACAAAAGTGTGATTAAAGCATATGCAGGACCCCAGCGAGCTCCAGACTATGTCCATTGTGTCAGGGGGCCTGGTTCATGATGGCACCCATCATTTAAACGCAAAAGCCACCATTAAAAGTCACTTTTAGGGGGAAAACGCCGGCTCTGTCCAATTCGTTAACAAACTGATAGGCAAATGGACAAAAGTGTGATTAAAGCATATGCAGGACCCCAGTGAGCTCCAGACTATGTGCATTGTGTAAGGGGGCCTTTTGAATGATGGCCCCCATCATTTAAACGCAAAAGCCACCATTAAAAGTCACTTTTAGGGGAAAACGCCGGCTCTGTCCACTTCGTTAACAAACTGATAGGCAAATGGACAAGCGGGGGAAACACGGCCGCGAGTCGCTGCTCCACAGGCTGTGTGCATTGTGTTAGGGAACCCTATGAAGGGTGTATACATGAGTGTATACATGTTTTTAATAGTAGGAATACCTCCAGGGGCGCATCACCAACATTTTACAAAGCCAGGGAAGGTTGCATGGACCCCTGGTAATCATTGATTAAGTGTTTTTAAATGTGTGGAACAGTGTTTTGTCACTTTCAAAACTCTCCTGTCATTGACCGGAGAAATTGCTGCTACAACCCGCTGCTGCAGATACACACTTTACAACATCAGGAGGATACGTCCCCTCCTGACCGAGAAAGTCACGCAACTTCTGGTCCAGGCTCTCGTCATCTCACGCCTAGACTACTGCTCCTCCTCCTGGTTAGTCTATCTGCAAGTGCCATCCGACCTCTGCAGCTCATCCAGAATGCAGCGGCTCGTCTGGTCTTCAACCTTCCTAAATTCTCCCACACCACGCCGCTCCTCCGCTCCCTTCACTGGCTTCCAGTAACTGCTAGAATCCACTTCAAGACACTGGTACTTGCGTACCATGCTGTGAATGGATCTGGCCCTTCCTACATCCAGGACACAGTGTTGGGTGTAACGCGTTACAAAAGTAACAGAGTTACAGTAATGTATTACTAATGAAATCTGGGTAATATACTACCCGTTACAATTCGCAGTAACGCAGTTACAACTAATTTTAACCCGAAATGAAATGGTGTTTTGTTTTTTAAGAATTCACTAACATTGCACCAGAGAAAAATTGTGCCGGTAGATTAGCAAGCCTGGTGTCAGGATTCTCATGTTATGTCACGTTTGTAGTTTTGTATGTCTGGTTATGGGTGTTTTCCTCCTTGTATATTTTCTGGTCCTTCTTCCTGTGTTTTTCCCCTGTCGTTAGTTTCCCTGGTGTGTCTAATTGTCTGATTGTGTTCACCTGTCGCCCTTGTGTTTCTCCTCCCCTGCCCGGCTGTTTCTCGTCTTGTGATTACCCTTCCCTGTATTTAGTCTTGTCTCTTCCTGTGTTCAGTGTTGGTTCGTCTTTTCGTCTTTTGTTCGTGACTGTGTTCACCGGGGAGTGATCCGTTTGTCTATATTATCCTTGAAATAAAGGCATTTTCAGCGTTATCTGCATTTGGGTCCTGCTTGCTTCACTCACCGTAACACCTGGTGTTTACGTAATCAGTCAGGCTGATCTTGATGAGCCTGAAGGGTGTTCTTTTCCCCATAATGTCACTGCACATTATGTCGCTGCACATTATCCCGCTTATTACACGGCCAGATACTAAACAAACTAAGGAATCGACTCCCAATATTAATTGAAATGATTTTATTGACATAAAATGATCGTATTACTTCCACTTAGAAAAAAAACAACTCCGTTCCACGGCGCACCAACAGCTGGAACTGCGAGAACAACAACTTTACGGCAGCACTGTCCAACTCTGTTCACAGTTTCTGATCCACTAACAAGTCCTTAAACACTGTATAGCCCATACCGTGTTCCTGTTAGTGTTTACTTCTTGTTTGTCTTCTTCTGTTCATTTATCTGACGTCCAGCGCTCCGTCTTTAACCCTCTTTTACTTTCTCTTTCTTGATCCTCCTTAGCAACAGAATTGACCAATCAGAATCGAGTATTCAACTAAGCCTTGTAATAAAAGTTGTTAGTAGCCTTAAGGGCCTACACAGTTGCTGCACTAAACTACATTTTAGCATTTAAAATACCTGGCCATTATTTTGCGGTTATTTTGGTGAAAGTAACTCAAAAGTAATATAAAAGTAGTGTAACTCATTACATTTCAGAGACAGTAATATTGTAATGTAACTTATTACTTTAAAAAGACAGTAATAAGTCATATGTAATGTATTACATTTTGGAAGTAACCTTCCCAACACTGCCAGGACATGGTTAAACCATACACCCCAGCACGTGCACTCCGCTCTGCATCTGCCAAACAGCTCGTTGCACCCGCACTGCGAGGGGGACCCAAGTTCCCATCAGCAAAAACACGTGGGTTTGCTATCCTGGCTCCAAAATGGTGGAATGAGCTCCCCATTGACATCAGGACAGCAGAAAGCTTACACATCTTCCGGCGCAGACTGAAAACTCATCTCTTTCGACTCCACTTCGAGCGATAGAATTGCTAACAAAGCACTTATATACCAATAAAGGACTGGCTCATCTAAAGCCAGTTGAGTAGCACTTGAAATGTTTTGGCTCTATGAAACCTGATGTACTTATATGATTCTGATTTCTTCAAGTTTGTATCTTGTTGGTCGAACGCACTTATTGTAAGTCGCTTTGGATAGAAGCGTCAGCTAAATGCAATGTAATGTAGTAGAGTTATGTATGCAGGGGATAAAATGCTCAGACATATTATTTTTGGACCTGACTAAAATTAATACTAAGGTTCTGATACTAAGCAGCAAGTCGATGTGATAAAGAATCAACAATGTAGTCCACTTTTTTTTTCTCTCTTGTGCGTTTGACCATGCAAATTGTTCTGAACCTTCTGTTCTCATTTCATTTTTTTCTGTCCATTCTATTTGTCTTTGACAGCTATATATTTCCCTTACAGCTTGTATGTCAGGCTTCTTCAAGGCTGCACAGGGAGACCTCTCATGTCTACAGTGCCCCATCAACAGCCGGACCACCAGCGAAGGAGCAACTAACTGTGTGTGTCGAAGGGGATACTACCGCACCGACTCCGACCCTCAACAGATGCCCTGCACAAGTACGAACTTTCATGACAGAGCATTCATAGCAGTGTTGCACCCAGCAGCTCAAATCGCTGAATGTAATTTAAAAACAGGGAAGCAACAATAATACACATTAGGCTGTTAGTCTAAGTTAGCCCTTAGGGAAAGGCCTAGTCCACTCTTTCAATGTTCTGCAGGAACATTGGCATGATAATCTCTCTGGTCTATACTGTAAAAGCAACATGCAGAAACTTAAACTATTTTTTAGAAGTTACTAAAAAACATTTTTCAAGTTCAGTTGTATTATTATATTCTCTGCTCTCCCATTCTCTTTCAGCTGTTCCATCAGCTCCACAAAACGTGATCTCCATAGTGAATGAGACCTCTTTGAGGCTGGAGTGGAGCCCCCCCCAGGAGGGCGGTGGCCGAGCAGATGTTGTCTACAACATAATATGTAAGAGTTGTGGCAGTGGGCGGGGGGGCTGCACCCGCTGTGGAGACAATGTGCAGTTTGTCCCACGTCAGCTGGGTCTGACGGACAGCCGCGTCCACATCAGCGACCTCCTGGCCCACACCCAGTACACCTTCGAAATACAGACTGTTAATGGCGTGTCGGACCAGAGCCTGTACTCCCCCCAGCACACGTCCGTCAACATCACCACCAACCAGGCTGGTGAGCCAAACGGGGTTACATGACGACATTTTCCACCACTACAGTGGTGGAAGAAGTTTTCAGAAGTATCATCAGCAAAATATAATTAAAGTAAACAAAGTAAAAATAATCATTGGGCAGAAAATTCCTTTATGTGTGTTTATAATTACATCTATACATGTGAAGTTTCTAGATAATACATTTTTACTGTTGTAGACAAACACAGTTCAGATTGGCATTTATATTTTAATAATTTGACTCTTTTGTGGCTTCAAGAGTTAATCCACTAGTTTAGACGTTTTTAGAGATGCAATTTAAGTATCTAAAGCTGTTAAATAAATGTAGTGGAGTACAATTACTTGATTTCCCTCTGAAATATAGTGGAGTAGAAGTATAAAGTAGCATCAAATGGTAATACTCAATTAAAGTACAGGTAGCCCAACATTTTACTAGTAAATGTACTTAGTTACTTCCCCCTTCTGGCGTTCATGAATCGGTCAGCAGTCTCTGTAGACTTTCTGTTTCATTACAGCCTCTTTCTTAAGCTAACGTTGTTCCTGTCTCAGCCCCATCGGCAGTGTCCATCATCCACCAGGTCAGCAGAGCACCGGACAGCATCACCCTGTCCTGGTCCCAGCCGGACCAGCCCAACGGAGTGATCCTGGACTATGAATTGCAATACTATGAGAAGGTGCATCAATGCTGCTGATGATGATTTAGTTACAAAATAAAACAGACAGTCTAGATCAGTCTTTCCCAAAATAGCTCATTCAGACATCATGACAGAGAAAATCTTACTGCTGTAGTAATTTAATCATAGTAATTAAACAGCATATTTCTGTTTTATAATCTACATTTTCGAATTTCTGATGATGTGTTTCAGAACCAGGCAGAGTTGAACTCCTCTCTGACGAGGAGTCAGACCAACACTGCAGTCGTACGGAGCTTGAAAGCTGGAACTATCTACGTGTTTCAGGTTAGGGCCCGGACTGTCGCTGGATTTGGTAGTTTTAGTGGCAAAATGTACTTCCAAACCATGACTGAAGGTAGGAATGACAGTTAGATCCACTGAATAACTAGATTCTGTAAATACTGTATGAATACATCTTGTGCGTCCAAATAGGTAATCCAGTCATGGATAACATCCATATTTTTAACCTGTAGAGGAATATAACACCAGTATCCAGGAGAAGCTCCCCCTCATCATCGGTTCTGCTGCTGCAGGGGTCATCTTCATCATTGCCATCACTGTCTTCATAATTGTCTGCCGCAGGTAAGCCAATAATGTTACAGACCATTATAACAGTATAAAAATAATATTATTTTCATTTGTGTAACCAAACACCATGTAGTGTAAAAGGAGTATCCCCTAATGCAGTGGTTCTCAAACTTTTTCTGTCATTCCCCACTTTGAACAGGTGGGCCTTTTCAAGCCCCACCTGTTCCTCATCGCTCCAATATAATGGTAGGCCAAGCTTAAAATTGTCAAATGTATCGTTCTACAACAGGGGTCGCCAACCTTTTTTAGGATGAGAGCTACTTTCAAAAGATCAGTGGGGGCGTGCCCCACACTTTGAGAAACGCTGCCCTAACCTATCTGTTAGATAAGTGTCCTCAAACCAAAACAATTAGCTAAAATATAGTAAAATCTCTGAAAGCTGAAAAAATTGTGAATATTCTCTGTTTGTTCCTGACTGGCAGCAACCCTTGTCACATTACATCTAGTCAGTAAGTTATTGCTGTATGAGCCACCTCAGGAAGATAATGCTTAAAAACTGAAGCCTGCAAGGTGACTAACATCTGGTCTTAAAACAAAATATTATCAAAATCGAGGGGTTACGTATGGTAACCCTTGTTATTTAAGCACAGTCCTCTACTGGACTCTATGGGTACTACCTCTCAACCATACTGAGATATGTATAACCGTAGTCGGCCCCCGGGGCCTGCCTACCTGAATGCGTGCACAAGCCCACCGTATATAAGGTGGCCACGCCTACCGTTCCCGTCATCCTACACTTCTCTTCAGCGAGCAGCATAGGACAGACAGGGCCCCGAGTAGAGGGCTCCGCCTGTGCTTATATAACATGGGTTACCATACGTAACCCCTCTTTATATCTCTCACAGGCGATGTATACAAGCGCTGTCGTCCAACAACATCGTTCCACTCCACTGCCCCTGACCGGCTTTCTGGATAGCAGCCGCACCCTCCTCTACCTCGGTTGTGACCTTGGAGAAGACTGGGCCGCGGCTGACAGAGCATACTCTGACACGCTTACCTCGCAAAAAGTGTCCTCGGAAAACAGTGCTGA